GGACGACCCACCATAATAGCAGTTTTAGGGCTACCATCTACGAGGGAGAGAGAGAAGGGGGGAATAAAGGATGAGGGAAAGAGAGAAGGGGAGAATAGAGAAAGAAGGATGAGAGGGGAGGAAAGAGTGAAAGGGAGAATAAAGAATGAGGGAAAGAGAGAAGGGAGAATAAAGAATGAGGGAAAGAGAGAAGGAGAGAATAAAGAATGAGGGAAAGAGAGAAAGGGGGGAAAAGAATGAGGGGAAAGAGAGAAGGGGGGAATAAAGAATGAAAGAGTGAAAAAAGAGAATAAGAAATGAGGGAAAGAGAGAAGGGGAGAATAGAGAAAGAGGGATGGGAGGGAAGGAAAGAGTGAAAGGGAGAATAAAGAATGAGGAAAGAGAGAAGGGAAATAAAGAATGAGGGAAAGAAGGGAAGAAAAGAATGAGGGAAAGAGAGAAGGGGAGAATAAAGAATGAGGGAAAGAGAAAGGGGAGAATAAAGAATGAGGGAAAGAGAGAAGGGGAGAATAAAGAATGAGGAATGGGAGAATAAAGAATGGGAGAATAAAGAATGAAAAGAAAGAAGAGGATGGGAGAAGAAAGAAATAAAGAAGAATGAGGAAAGAGAGAATGGGAGAATAAAGAATAAAGAATGAGGGAAAGAGAGAAGGGGAGAATAAAGAATGAGGGAAAGAGAGAAGGGGAGAATAAAGAAATAAAGAGAGAGAAGGAGAATAGAGAGAAGGGGAGAATAGAGGAAAGAGGGAAAGAGAGAAGGAGGAGAATAAAGAAAAACGGATGGAAGGGAAGGAGAGGAAAGAGGGCGGGAAGGAAGGAGGGAGGGAAAGGAAAGAGAGAAGGGGAGAATAAAGAATGAGGGAAAGAGAGAAGGGGAGAATAGAGAAAAAGGGATGGGAGGGAAGGAGAGGAAAAGAGGGAGGGAGAGGGAAGGAGGGAGGGAAAGGGAAAGAGAGAAGGGGAGAATAAAGAATGAGGGAAAGAGAGAAGGGGAGAATAGAGAAAAAGGGATGGGAAGGAAGGAGAGGAAAAGAGGGAAGAGAGGGAAGGAGGGGGGAAGAGAAAGAGAGAAGGGAGAAGAAAGAATGAGGGAAAGAGAAGGGGAGAATAAAAAATGAGGGAAGAGAGATAAAGAATGAAAGAGAGAAGGAGAGAATAAAGAATGAGGGAAAGAGAGAAGGGGGGAATAAAGAATGAGAGAGAGAAGGAGAGATAAAGAATGGGGAAAGAGGAAGGGAGAATAAAGAAAAACGATGGAAGGGAAGGAGAGGAAAAGAGGGAGGGAGAGAGAAGGAGGGAGGGAAAGGGAAGAGAGAAGGGAGAATAAGAATGAGGGAAAGAGAGAAGGGGAGAGATAGAGAAAAAGGGATGGGGGGAAGGAGAGGAAAAGAAGGAGGGAGAGGAAGGAGGGAGGGAAATGGAAAGAAGAGAAAAAGAGACTAAGAAATGAGGGAAAGAGAGAAGGGGAGAATAGAGAAAGAGGAATGGGAGGGAAGGAAAGAGTGAAAGGGAGAGAATGAGGGAAAGAGAGAATAGGGGAGATAGAGGAAGAGAATAGGAGAATGAGGGAAAAGAGAAGGAAGGGGGAAAAAGAATGAAAGAGAAGAAGAAGAGAATAGGAATGAGGGAAAGAGAGAAGGGGGGAATAAAGAATGAAAGAGAGAAGGGGAGAATAAAGAATGAAAGAGAGAAGGGGAGAATAAAGAATGAGGGAAAGAGAGAAGGGGAGAATAAAGAATGAGGGAAAGAAAGGAAGAATAAAGAATGAGGGAAAGAAAGAAGGGAGAATAAAGAATGAGGGAAAGAGAGAAGGGGGGAATAAAGAATGAAAGAGAGGAGAGAATAAAGAATGGGGGAAAGAGAGAAAGAGGGAAAGAGAGAAGGGCGGAATAAAGAATGAAAGAAAGGGAGAATAAAAATGAGGGAAAGAAAGGGGAGAATAAAGAATGAAGGAAAGAGAGAAGGGGGGAATAAATAATGAAAGAGAGAAGGAGAGAAATAAGAAATGAGGGAAAAGAAGAGAAGGAGAGAATAGAGAAAGAGGGATGGGAGGGAAGGAAGGAGGGAGAGGGAAAGAGAGAAGGGGAGAAAAAAAATGAGGGGAAGAGAGAATAGAGAAAGAAAGAAAGAGAAAAGGGGGGGATAGATAATGAGGAAAAGAGAGAAAGGAGGAATAAAGAATGAGGGAAAGCGAGAAAGTAAGAATAGATTAATGAGAAAGTGAGAATAAAGAATTAGGAAAAGCGAGAGAAAGTAAGAATAAAAAATGAGGGAAAGACAGAAAGGGAGAATAGTGCAAGAAGGATGGGAGGGAAAGGAAAGACAGAAGGGATAGTGAAGGAGGAGGGAGAGGGAAGAGGGATAGTGAGGGGGGAAAGAGGGATAGTGAAGAGGGAGGGAGAGTGAAAGAGGGAAGGAAGGAGGGAAAGAGGGATAGTGAAGGAGGGAGGGAGAGGGAAAGTGAAGGAGGGAAAGAGGATAGTGAAGGAGGAAAGAGGGATAGTGAAAGGGAGGGAGAGGAAAGAGGGAATAGTGAAGGAGGGAAGAGGGGGAGGGAAGGAGGGAGGGAGGGAGAAGGGGATAGTGAAGAGGAGGGAGAGGGAAAGAGGGATCGGAGGGATATGTGAAGGAGGGAGGGGAAGCGAGGAAGAGGGATAGTGAAGGAGGGAGGGAGAGGGAAAGACGAGAGGGATAGTGAGGAGGGAGGGAGGGAAAGAGGGAAAGTAGGGAAGGAGGGAGGGGAATAGTGAAAGGAGGAGGAGAGGGGAAAGAGGGATAGTGAAGGAGGGAGGGGGAGAGGGAAGGAGGGAGGGAGAGGGAAAGAGGGATAGTGAAGGAGGGAGGGAGAGAAAGAGAGGAGTATGGGAGAAGGATATATATATATATATATATATATATATAATATATATATATATATATATATATAGAGAGAGAGAGAGAGAGAGAGAGAGAGAGAGATAGAGAGAGAGAGAGAGAGAGAGAGAGAGAGATAAAGAGATATATATACATAGATAGTTAATACAGAGAGAGAAAGATAAATATATACATATATATATATATATATATATATATATATTATATATATATATATATATATAATATATATATAGAGAGAGAGAGAGAAGAGAGAGAGAGAAGAGAGAGAGAGAGAGAGAGACAGGACAGATGAAAAGAGAGAAAGAGAAAGAAAGAGATAGACAAAACAGAAAGAGAGAATAAGGGAAAGAAAGATTTTGACATTGTTTGTCTCAATATATTCATTGTCTGTTTCCCAGCCATTGTACTAAGACACTGCTCAGCCGGTCAGCAAAGGCAGCATATTTCCTTCTTCTTCTGAAATTCAAACCGGATCAAACTAACTCTTCTCGTGATGTATACATATATATATAAAAAGAGAAAGGGGAGGAAGGAGAAGTAAAAAAAAAAAAAAGAAAAATGTTTCCTCTACTTCATAGCTTACAATGGCATTTCCCTTTTCCATTCTTGAACTGGAAAAAAACACATGCTATAGTAGAGTAAAAGAAAAAAATGAAGAAGAAAAAAATGATTGGGGGATGTTTGTGTCTGTTGAGAAAACCTTGGCAATCTCATCTGACTTGCATAAATATCTTTCATTCTTTTGACTATTCATGCAACTCCCTCTCTCTCTCTTTCTCTCCATACATCTCTCTCTCTCTTTATATATATATATATATATATATTATATATATATATATATATATATATAGAGAGAGAGAGAGAGAGAGAGAGAGAGAGAGAGAGAGAGAGAGAGAGAGATACAGATCGAGATGTGGATAGATAGACACATACACACACACGCGCCCCGCGCGCGCGGCGGGTCACGCACATACACAACACACACACACACACACACAGAAAATGAGAGAGATAGAGAGAGAGAGAGAGAGAGAGAGAGAGAGAGAGAGAGAGAGAGAGAGAGAGAGAGAGAGAGAGAGAGAGAGAGAGAGAGAGAGAGAGAGAGAGAGCCGCAAGGGTTACCGCAATCTCAGTGGATTTACAGACACATCGTTGCCGCAATGCCATGACGTGTAAATAATCTTGTTAATTGTTCTGGCAAAACAAAAGGAAAGAATGAAAGAGTTTGTCCTCGCGTCATATTCTTGTCGGAAAATAACAAAAGAAAAACAACAAATTCTGTAGATATATTTCCCTTTTCCTTATAGAATACTACCGCCTATTTTGTATTCATTGTTGTTGTAACGTGATCCGTTTTCTATACCACGAGGGGCATCGAAATTCCCGTTTTCTTTAATGTTTTGTTCATGGCTACAACTATGATTGTGTATATAACGATTATAACAACAGCAATGATAATAAAAATGATGATGATAATGAGAACGATGATAACAAAAGTAAAGATTATGATGGTAATAGTAGTTGAAATAATGTTAATGATGATAATAATCATGATAATAATAATAACATTAATAATATGATAATAATGATAACATTAATAATATGATAATGATGATAATAATGATAACATTAACAATATGATAATGATGATAATAATGATAACAATAATAATATAATAACATAACAACAATAATAACAACAACAACAATAGTAATAAGAGTAATGATAATAAAGATAAAAATAATGATAATAATGATAAGGATGATATAATGATAAAAGGGTAACAGCAGTAACAATAATGATGATAACAACAGCAGTAACAATAATGATGATAACAATTATGAAAAAAAATAGCAATAATAGAAATAATGATTATAATAACAGTAATGCTAATAATGATAGAAAAAATAATGATGACAGCAGCAACAACAATGATAATAATAATAATGATAATAATAATAATAATAATAATAAGAATAATGATAATAATAATAACAATAATAATGATTATAATGATGATGTTGATAAAAATAATTACCAAATAATAAAGATACCAAATGCAAAAATGATACCAATAGTAATAGTGATAGTAGAAATAATAATAATGATAATAATAATGAAAATATTGATGATCATAATGATGATGATGCTTATTAGCAT